TAAAAAACTCTCAGTACTAATACATAATTCTGACGAACACAAGGATATTCAGAGTTGTACTGTAGAAGTTCATTTTCAAAAGATAATTGATAAGGTAAGGGATTTTCACTAGTTATTTGAAACTTAGCTAAGGAACACAAAGGGCTTCAATACATTGTACATTCTTATTTTTGGTTTAAATTGGCTTTTTAAAATTAGAATATAATTTTTGCAGAACAGTTATTGATTCCATTACTTCCATAGCCATATGTACTTTTAGAGAATGTTACTGGCTATTAAACTTAAAATATTAAAATTCTTAACCAAAGAAAAGAATTATAAATCATCATAGTAATCTTTACCTTTTTGGAATAAAACAATTGAGCAGTTTTAGTATCCTGAATGCTAAACAGACATTCTTTTACTATAAATTTTGAGATCATCTTAAAAGTTATATTTTTACTGCTTTAAAATAGATTGCTTATAGTTAAAAATGTTACAATGGACTAATTTTACTATCTTCATTATTTTAATTCAGGTGAAATTTAATGCTGTTAGTAATCCTACATATTTGTGATGTGAAAGAGCTTTGCTTTAGTTCGAAGTATTGTGTTTAAGCCCTTTTTAAACAGGGAAAGGTCAAGCTGACATGTTTGTTTTCTAGAATACCGATTTAGATTACTTGCATGGTTCTGTTTTGTTTTTTTCCTTCTGCTTATTTATTTATTTTGCTAATTTATGGTTTAAAAATGTCTGAATGTAGCCTAAAACTATAGGAAACTATATAATGGAATGAGTTTTTTGGTTTTGTTTCTTACTTTTGTGTTATGTGTGTGTATAACAGACTTTAAATCTATGCTTTCTATTGTACAATTTGGGTTGGGATAGCCAATAAATCATATTTGATTCCTTTGCTCATTACATTTGATTTGTGTACATTTTTTTAATAACCATAACTTTAATATGACAGCACTTTTTAAGTGAATGGGAAAGTAAATTTTATCATTTAAGTAGATTTGCACTTGATTTTTTGAAAATCAGTTTGATTGTAAAAAAAAAAAAAAAAAAACGGGCATATAGTTAATTATTTGCAACTTTCCTTTTACTTTCAATTAATCACGCTTTATTACCCCCAAAAAAACTATAAGCCATATCACTCTATTACTACCTACTTTTTCCTTGCATGGTCTATTATTGCAGCTTTTGAAAAATGAAGTAGTAATTTAATCTGTTGTTATTGTTTAATAATTTGAATGGGTTTGTTTTGAGTGAGGTAGAATTTTTATCCCCCTTCATCAACTCTTTGTTTTCTCAGTCAGTATGTTTTTAGGTTTGTTTGGAGGTTGGGTTTTTTTGGTTGTTGTTGTTTGGTATTTTAGTTTTTGTGATCCCGTGAGTCCGGAACCAAACAACTTGGAAAATATGCATTCTTTGCTAACCAAAGTTATTTCTGAGAATTACTTCTAGTTTGCTGTGTGCTGCATGTTCAATTGAAGTTTAAAATCCATAGAATTAGCTCCTAAGTGAAATTAGAAGTAGACTTAAGATAACTTAATACCAGCAATTGTTTTCTGGTTTTGTTTTTCCCAAAAACAGGAAGGAGATGATTATGAAGTCATTCCTAACAGTAACTTCTATGTATCCAGAACAGCCTACAGAGATAATACTTCCGTCTACCATATTAGTGGGAAGAAAAAGACATTTAAAGATGTTGGGAATCTTCTTCGAAGCCATGGAATTGACTTGGACCATAATAGATTTTTAATCTTACAAGTAAGTTTATTAAAGATACCAAGTTTCTCTTAGCTTTGTGGAGGTGGGTTTGTTTTGTTTTCTATAAACGTTTCGGGTTTTTCCCCTGTTGGATGTATTTTTGAGGCCTTAAAGTACTGTAGCAGCACATCATGGTTTACATACTACAGTTAAGATGCGAATCATCATTTGCTGCTCTAGAAATTTAAGGATATTCATTCAAAAACACTGTATTTTTGTCATCAGATACTTGTATTATGTTTGGATGGACTGACATACTTGTTCCGCTCTAGCAGCACGTAAATATTGGCGTAGTAAGATAAATATTAAACACCAATATTATTGTGCTGCTTTAGTGTGACAGGGATATAACAACTATCATTTTCTATTTGTATTTCCCTTGAAGATTTTTTTGTTGTTGTTGTTAATTTTACTATGTTTTTAATGAAAGTTTACATTGCAAGTTAGGTTACAACCTTTGACAATTTTTACAAAAATTGAGTAATAACATTAGTTACATTTTTCACATCGTGTCAGTATTCTCTTTAATTGTGTCTGATTGTTCCATTACGAATACCATACTCTGGTTTCCTTGCCCCCTTATCTTCTTGAAGGTAATGTTTCAAATGGGATTCATTATCTTTTAATAGTGTACTATTTTCCCTAATTTTTGTCTTTATCTCTACTAATGTAATACAACAAACAGAAAAATGAAAATAAAAATCTGTATACTTAATGCTCAACAAAATTACCTAATCACCTAATTTAATCTTATTAACACGTAGAATGGTAAATTAAGAGTATATTCGAAGTTTTGTTTTGTTTTGTTTAGAATGAGCAATTTTTTTGAACTGCTACTGTCAGTAAATCAGAAAGTAACTTTGATGTTTCATTCTTAAGTATTACAACTCTTAAAAAAGAAAAAAATTAGGAAGTGTAAAAATTAAGTACCTGGTGTTAAGTGGATTTTTATTAGAAATTCTGCATTATTTATTCCTACCAGCACTGCTTGGTTAAAAAAAAAATCCCTTATCTTTTTCCCTGTACCTTACCTTTCAAATAAAACCTTAGCTTTATCAGACATTTTAAAATACCTATTTTATTTGAGGTTGTCTGCTTTTCATAGGTCCTATCTAGAATTGCCAAGAACATAATAGTAAAAGCAAAACTGGTTAGTGGGAAAAAATTACTATTAATATTCTTTAGGGTCTTTTGTTGCTGATACTAAAATAAGTTGGGAATTTTAATTTGACATTAAAAGCTTTATAACTGAGTGTTCTCAATACCAAACTTAAAAATGTTAGTCCCTGTTTCCATTTTAACTTTTCTTCAAATATTTAAAAACAAAGAAAATAACTACTTTTAGACATACGTAGTATGCAAGGTAAATCAGTATCATTCTAGAATAACCTGTATATGTGTCTTTTGTTACCAGGCACAGTACATTAGTAATACTTCTGTAATGCATACTTACTCTTAAAAATGAATGCTGGGAGATGAGCTAGACTTTTATATTCTGAGGTTTGATTTGGTTGATTATAGATAAAAAGTTACGTCCTTTTATAATACTAAATTTGATGATGAAACCTATTGTTTGCAGAAAAGTATACTTAATATTTGTCTTCTGTTTATTCTTTGCTTTATTTTCATTCTAGAAAAATGAAAGTTTCATACTTGTGCAAAGACTGATCAAACTAGAGTGGACTGCATTTTAACCTTTCTAAGGATAATTGTTTTCCCTGAATGTAGCTTCCCTGTATGCAATTCAATAATAAAGAAAGCTAGTAAAGTAATAACTTTCCAAAGAAGTATATAAGAATTATTTATAAGTTGTTGACTTTATATTAAATAATATGCTTCTGAAGTAACTGGAATGCTTAACTCATTTGCCTCATAATAATTTGAACCTTTTTTTGTGATCTGAACAATTAAATTGTACTGAGCATTTCTTCCCAAATAAGTTTATCAGTAAAATTTTCAAGTTTTAACAGATTAGATTCAATTCTACTAAATTTACAGATAAGAACCGTAGGAATGCATCTGTTAGGAAGAAAAAAAAAACAGGAATTGAGCTAGGTAGAACTAAGGTGTTCTGTGAAAAATTTGAGAGAAAGTGGTGATAGTGTCCATAGATTTTTATTTAATTTTTATCATCATAACCTTAGATTCATACACTGTAGATTTAAGGCACTTGATGGTAAGTATGTGGGTTTCGTTACCTTCTCTACTGCTGAATAAAGTCTCTCTTAAAAATTAGCCTTGTTTTGGGAACGTGGGGATAGTATCCTAAATTGCCATTCAAGGCATAAATGATAACTTTGAATAAAATACATAAACTCTCTGTCCCATGGTAAATGATTAATAGCCTAAGGAATCTAAGTTTAATAGAAGTAAAAATTTATTAAGTTAAAAACACTAAATTTTAGAAGTTCACATGAGTAATTTTTTAACTGTGTCTATCTGTTGGCTTGGTTTTTAAAGTAAGCATTTCTAAGATTTGAATTCATTTAAAATTTCATCATTTGACCTTTCATATGAGTACCTAATGAAGAACCATGCTAAGATGCTATCAGTGACATAAAAATGGTTAAACCTTGTTTCTTGACCTTAGAGGCACTTACATAGGCCCTCAAAAAGTATTTGTTATAATTGACCATTGTATTTTCCATGTGTTTATTTCCCCATTTATAAATACCTTGTTTGGGTACCTCCATCTCCTTATAATAATAAACAATTATTAGTCCAAACGAGTAGGATTTTATTAGCTCTGTATAGTATTAATGGGTGACTTATTTTCATGACTTACGAATTAGGTTTAATTGGTTTGGGTATACTTGCTCCACTCAGGGTTAGGGGAATGGTAACGATGATGCTTTTACTGCAGCTCAGAGTTATTACATTAATGATTGCCGTTTTAAGAATATTTTTGTAAACTCCACAAAAGCCACAATTACTAGCATAACCTTCATTTTATACAAATTTCCAGTTTATGTGCTTTTATATTCTTATTAGGATCCCTAGTAGCACAGTAGCATAGTGGCTAAGGCACTTGACTGTTAACCAGAAGACTGGTGGTTGAAACCCAAGGAGGGGTCGCTAGGAGTCGGGTCTGACTCGAGGGCACATAACAACAACAAGTGGCACGGTGGTTAAGTGTTTGGCTGCTAACCAGTAGATTGGTGGTTCAAACCTACCACTTGTCCCATGGGAGAAAAATGTGCTAGTCTGCTTCTATAAAGATTTATAGCCTTAGAAGCTCTGGGGCAATTATACTCTCTTTTAGGTTCACTAGGAATCAAAATTGACTTCGCAGTGGGTATTTTCATATTATAAAATCTGAGTTAAAATTTAGAAACTAAAATAATATTTAGTAATTTTTGAGGTTAGATTAGCTAAGATTTGAGTTGTAAGCTAACCGTTGCTTCTTCCTTTTTTATTCCAGTATACATTTCCCAAGCAGTAACTTGGCATAACATACAAGCTGTTTATGTTCTAGTCGTTTCATCTGTAGAAATAAGTCTGTTCTGTAATATCAAAATAAATTTTTACTTTATTAATAATATCTGTTATCCAATGGTGTCTGATTAAACAATTTCAACTGTAAAAGAAAATAGGAAGCTATCGCTAAGCAAACAAAGTAGATATAAAGAATACCACCCTCATAGTGATGATGGTTGTACAACATGATGAATACAGTTAATGTCACTAAATTACACATGTAAAGACTACTGAGTGTTTGTTACAGACGTGAGACATACAATTAAAAAAAAAAAATCACCTTCTAAAGTAGTATCCTTCTGCTCACTTCTTTTAGATAAATATTAACCTTGGCAATGTGGTTTCTTGGCCTCTGGTACCTTGTTGTTGTTATGTGCCGTCGAGTCGGCCCCGACTCATAGCGGCCCCTCCTTGGGTTTCCGAGGCAGTAGCACTATGGAAGTAGATTGCCCCATCTTCCTTCCGAGGAGCGGCTGGTGGGTTTGAACCGCCAGCCTTCTGGTTAGCAGTCAAGTGCCTTAGGCACTATGCTACCAGAGCTCCCTCTGGTACCTTACAAGAGCAAATTAAATTGCATTAAGGAAAGATAGAGTGATGATGAGAAACAATAACTTACAGCTCACTGAAAAATGAATGTAATAAAAATTAACGAGACAAACTATTCAAAGCCCAGCTATTCTGGGCCATTTAATTTAGATATAAACACCCATATTCTTAAGAATTTTTGAGGTCTTATTAGGGAAAACATCATCTTATAGCCATATACAGGAGCTCTGGTGGCATAGTGCCTAAGGCATTTGACTGCTAACCAAAAGGCTGGAGGTTCAAACCCACCAGCCACTCCTCAGAAGTTAGATGGGGCAATTACTTCCATAGTGATACAGCCTCAGAAACCCAAGGAGGGGTCTCTGTGAGTCAGATCCAACTCGACAGCAATGAGTTTGGTTTGGTTTTTATAGCCACATACTGTTAGACTTACTGTATCTTTGGCTTCTACCTACTAGACACTGGTAACACATACCTTAGTTGTGATGACCAAAAATGTCTATTAAAAAAAAAAAAAACTCGCCGCCATCCAGTCAATTCCCACTCACAGTGACCCCCTTTGGATTTCTGAAGCAGTAAATCCTTGCAGAAGTAGGTTGTCCGGTCTTCCTTCTGCGGAATGGCTGGGAGTGTGAACCACCAACCTTCTGGTTGGCAGCCATAGATGTTGCTAAATGTCCAGAGGATAGGGGGGTGAAGAGAAAGGAGCAAATTGGCCTTAGTTGAGAAGCCTTGATCTGTATTTAAATATGAATGAAGGATATTTTACCTATTTATTCCTTTTAGATTTTTAAGGTATACTGTAAATTAGATTATTGCAGAATGGTATAACATTGGTACCCTAGTTTTCCATCCAACAAAGCCTTCCATAATCCTTTGGTATTATAAGTGTCCCCTTGCAGGATGTTTGTCATTTCTGGGTTACTTGTAAAAACCATAGTTGACATTTTCCATGGTTGCTGAATGCCCCTGATTTAATATGAACATACCTTAAAACAAAGGAAGTGTATAGTAAATGATGTTATGTGCCGTCGAGTCGGCCCTGACTCATAGCAACCCCTCCTTGGGTTTCCGAGGCAGCATCACTACGGAAGTAGATTGCCCCATCTTCCTTCTGAGGAGTGGCTGGTGGGTTTGAACCGCCAGCCTTCTGGTTAGCAGTCAAGTGCCTTAGGCACTACACTACCAGAGCTCCCATATAGTAAATGTTGTTGTTATGTGCCGTCAAGTCGGACCTGACTCACAGTGACCCCTCCTTGGGTTTCCGAGGCAGTATCACTACGGAAGTAGATTGCCCCATCTTCCTTCCGAGGAGTGGCTGGTGGGTTTGAACCGCCAGCCTTTTGGTTAGCAGTCAAGTGCCTTAGGCACTACGCTACCAGAGCTCTTATATAATAAATAGAAGTGGGGGGAAAAATTCTTTAAACTCTTAGTATGCTTTAACAGTAGGAAGTCAAGACAACATTGCTAGCATATTAGAAACTTAGAACATTTTTTGTGTCATCTTGCCACCACTATTTGTGAGAGCCTTGGTAGAGAAGAGTGACATTAAATTTGCATAGATGCTTTTAAATTATTTCAGGATTTATTTAATTTATTGTTGCCCTAAATTAAAATTACTTGTTAATTACTCACATGGGGTAGATAAATTTTCTGAGAAATAAGTCCTCTAGACAAAGATTGTCAGCCCATAGATAAAATGTTAGATGGCACAAAATGGAAGAAGACAAAAGTAAATGGCATCTGAAATGGTAGCCTGCGGTCAAGCAGGCAAAAAACATTGAAGAACATTCAGTCACAGAAGAGGCCCAGGTAGCCATCAGGGCCATAGCAGTCCTAATAGTGAAAGGACAAGTAAAGGCTAAATGTGTTAGTATGTTGATTCAAATATTGCTAATCTGATAATACGGTAACTGGTAAAGAAATGACTACGCCATCTCTAGGGTAAATAGTCAAAATCTTGTATTGAAAAGCCAGAGAAGATGTGTCAGTATTGGGCTATCTAAAACTGAATATTACATGAGACTGGAGACAGAACTATTGTGATTCATGAACTTTCTTGTCTTTCTTTTTTAACTGGGCAGAGAGGAGCAAGTAACTAAAAATAAGCAACCACTAAGCTTTCTACAAAGTTAGGCACTCTCCTAATACCTACCTGTACTTCTATATAGTCTCTATGAGAAGTAATTTGGCCAGGGAAAGTGTGATACTTTATCACTGTAGATTCTTTACACTGAGTTCCAAATTTTCATTATCTGAAAAATGTTTACTTATGGCCATTTGACTCATATGGAAGTTCTCTCAGCATAGTATTTAATTGATCTTAAAGTCAGATGTTCAGATACTCAATTTGAATTAGGTAGTTTATTGGAACATCAGGGTGTGCTGTTATTTCTTACTTTTGATTACAAACACTGATGCTGCAACCTCTAGATCAGTAGTTCTCAACTAGGAACAGTTTTGCTGCCTTCACTTCTCCTACACACTGACATAGCAATATCTAGAGACATTTCTGGTTACTACAACTAGGGGGTATGCTACTAGCTTCTATAGGAATAAAGGCTGAAGATGCTGCAAATCATCCTACAAGTCCCAGTACAGCTCCCCACACCAGACTGTCCAGCCCAAAATGTCAGTAGTGCCACTATTAATAAATCGTACTCTAGATAAATCTTTAATGATTTAAAGAGTCTTGGTTGCTTCATTGACTAGAATTCATCTTTTTGTGATCCAAAGTTTTGAACATTCTACTAGGTTTAGAATCCATTTAAATTGTTGTTGCAAACATTTGAAAGGAGCTGACAGTTGAAAACTCAATGACATAATATATAAGTACTTTTTTTTTGTCCCATACATAATACATTAAACTGGATGGAGAACATCTGAAAAATAACAGGCTTTTTTTTTTTTTCCAAAACTTTATTTCGGATAATCATGTGCTAAAGGAGTGTCAACATACAGAAAAATGATGTAGTAAAATTAAAATGTTAATTAAGGCTTTGAACATTTTATCTTGTGCTATATTTTAAATTTTTTACTTTTCATAATTGGGGCTTTTAATAACTGACACTTTGTCATTAGCAAATTTTACTTCACTTTTTTGATTCAGGCATGTACTAAGGAAATGGAAAGGGCTGAAATATTCAAATTGAAAGAGTACTGTACCTTTTAATGTACATACTTATTTTCTTCTCTTTCTCATCTTTACTATTTTACTGAAAATAAGAGGTATATTTTTTTTCTACTCGCCTATCTTCTGTTGTAATAGAGCGCAAGCGACCACTTCTGTGATGTTCACTAGTAGTTTTTTACTTGAACATATTCAGACAGTTTCTGTCCACCATCAGACTAAACGGTTGCCTGGCAGTCCTTAAGCTTATTGAATGTGGGTAATTATTTTTTTCCCTCTTTTTCCTTTATCTGTGTGACCTTTATAATTTAACTGCATGTAGAAAAATATGTAAAGTTCACTTAAGATTTTAATTTAATTATAGTTCAAAGTTGTTATATTAATAATTGCAAACAAATATGGTCCACTATCATAAGAACTAACTAGTGCCATTAGTTTTCTCTAGTCAAGGTGGTCATTTGGGTTTCTACTATTATTACTGTGAGAAATAAATTCCCTTTCCATTTAAGGCTCTTATTTTTTGAAAGTTAGGACATTAAGCTTGAGACACCCCTATGATGCCCAGCACTTCTTGAGGAACTTATGACAAGAGATTGACAGAGAAAGTTAAATAAATAGTAACCACCTTGGGGACAGAGTTCCTGCAGTTTAACCATGAGGATCTTTTTGAAAATTCTTTTAGAACAAGTGCTCTGTTTATATAAAATAGTACTTGATAATGTTGACATAATAAATGTATTATAGATTATATGAATACCTTGCTGAATTTTGCTTAATAGAAAAGTGATTTATTTATAATGAAATAGCGTTGTAGGTGAGAAACTTTCCGTTGGCATATATGTGGTGTATTATAATTTTAAAGATGTAGAAATAAATATTTCTTATCCCCTTCTTTAAAACTCTGAGGTCCTGCTGGCACAGTGGATAAAGCCTGTGGCTGCTAACTGAAAGGTCAGCAGTTTGAACCCACCAGCTACTCCACAGGAGAAAGATGTGATTGGCCCCTTCCATAAAGATTCACAGCCTTAGAAACCCTTTGAGGCAGTTCTACTCCGTCCTGTAAGGTTGTTTAAGTTGGAATTAACTCCCCAGCTGTGGATCTATTTTGGTTATGTAAAACTAGAGCTTATTTAGAAGCGTATTAGTGCAGAGAACATTTTGATTTGTATACCATTAAATCTCTTTAAAGTTACTCGATATACATCATTTAGTTGTTCATTACTATTGGGTTTGTTAATTGACTCTTCCTAAATCTTATTAAAATTTGATTTATCTAAACATATACGATGAGTGTATGAAATATGATTTTTTTAAAGGGTGAAGTTGAACAAATTGCTATGATGAAACCAAAAGGCCAAACTGAACACGATGAGGGTATGCTTGAATATTTAGAAGATATCATTGGTAGTGGACGGCTAAATGAACCTATTAAAGTCCTTTGTCGGAGAGTTGAAATATTAAATGAACACAGAGGAGAGAAGGTGAATTTTCTGTAGTTTTTCTTGAAACTCAGAATGTTTCGTTTATGGCTTACTGATTATACTGAGTCAGATACTCAAGTTATAGTGGTCATAAGAATTACAGGCAGTCCCTAGGTTACAAACTCCCACTTATTGCCATTAATACACAACTTTGACTTTACTTGGGAACAATTGAAGCAACCCCTTCTGGCAACAAATTCTTCATCATAATCACCTTCATTTGTTGTGTGTACAGCTTTTAAATCTTTGAAAAGGTTTCCAGCCTTTTCTTGCACTAAAAAGTAAGGCTAAATAAGAACTGTATGCAACTGTTCTGATTTGCCTCCAAATTCAACTTAAACACACATTTAGGAACAGATCTCTTTTGTAACACAGGGAATTGACTGTATTGGAGAAATGTTTACTATTTTAAATTTGAATTGATATTTTTCTTGTTGCTGTCATTAAAATTGGAGCTCTGGTAGCATAGTGGCTAAAGCACTTGACTGCTAACCAGAAGGCTGGCGGTTCAAACCCACCAGCCACT